ATTTACTCTCGTTCTTATCCAGTATATTTCAAGCCGTTAATCATGGAGTGGATTGTGACATTTTATGTATTGACTTTAGAAAAGCCTTTGACACTGTGCCTCATGGTAGACATTAATCCAACCCTGCACTCCAGGAGTCATGCTCCTCCTTGACTAAGGAATTTCTCACTCCACCTCAAGGGAGAGTCACTCATGCCAGCATTTGACACTTTAACCTAAAAGTTTTCAAGCAGGTACACATACCCCTGGTGCTCTCAAGTACTGTACAGTATTTATATGTTTTAAGTTTTCTCATCAAAGAGCAACTTGGAAATATAGAGTATTAACACCACAATGTGTATTCCAGTTTTGAGAACTTTGCATTAGAAAGTTAGAGGTGCATGGTATTGGGAGGGTTATTGTAAGCTGGATTAGGGCATGTTACAATATGGTGATAAAAATACATGAGAAAATCTCTGGAGCACGATGGGGGTCAAACCAGTGTTCTGGGTATCCTCAGACACTAGCCTTAACCCATAAATCATGATTTAACCTGGGATCTGACCAAATCCACTAGGAGTCTTCAGACTCTTGTAGATTTTGGAAGATTCCAGGTTAAATAATCTTTAGTATATCATGGTCCATACATTAAGATGCACATCTGGGGTTACCCAGGACCAGGACCCTGGTTCCATCTCTGTCCTGCTCCAAAGATTATGTCACGTGTGTGCTTGTGTTTGGTGTCTGACTGTCTTTCTTGGGCCTGGGGCCTTTCCTGCCATTCTTCTTGCATGTATCAGCTGAGTCCATTTTTGTGCTTTTTTGAAAAGCTGACCTCATGTACCGAGGTGCCATCATGAATAAGTTAGTAAACCCACTAAGGGATCCTTCCCAGAAATCAAGGGATGAATGTGGAATGCTATTTTCTGCTGGGCCTCCAATGGGGTTTTGGGTAACTTGGGCTGTCATCTAGTGGTGGTCAGGCATATCATAAGGTATTTACCCCATAGCAACGGTTGTTTGCATTGTTAAGAAACCCTAACCCACCGACCCCCCTTTTTTTTAATTCCTAAAAAAAAAACTTAAATTTCTATACATTAGGGATTTTTTTGCATCAATGGTTTCTATTATGGGTGTTAGTAAGTGGATAGTGATGCCCCATACATAGTGTCCACCTTTTTTTCTAAGGCCCAGGAAGGAAACAAAGGCTTTCAGGATTTTTTTTCCAGTATGGCAAACGATTGCCAGAGGGACTTTTGGATATTATAGGGCACATTCTAATCTTCCACAGGCAAAGGCAACGAAAACATTTTACAGACTAAATCCGTTGCTTGTTTTGTTACACCTGTGCTTTCAGATGGGTTTTCCCAGTTTTGTGGTTGATCTCCAGTCCCGTACTTCCCATGTAGAAGGAGCCATAATCTGGCCATGGCACTCTGTAGGCAACAGATGGGTCTCAAGGGTCTGGTATGTTTGGTTAAAGTTTAATAGAACCACAGTTCAAGCTAAGGAAGCCATTGAGGGCCCACCGGAAAAGGGCATTTCATTAAGCTCAATGCTTGACTTCAACTGTTAGGTGCGTGTTACACCTTTTCTTCCTTTTCATATACAGTACTGTACTGTTCTAGCCTTATTCAACTTGAGAATTTTGCAGCTGCTTGTTATTATTCAACTCAAGCATTTTGTAATTGCTTAATTTTAAGATTCTTGAGGTTACTGCTTAAGTTAAGGAAAATGTCTTAAGAGGAATGAGGATGAATAGCAATGGATATACAGTATACAGAGTAAGATACATCACCATTTTCCTACTACTGTATACTGCTATTAATACCTCAGATTTATTTTACATGGTAACCATTTTAAAAAAATTTGTATATGTATTTTAGCTATATATAATAGCAGCTATATTTAGCTATATATAATGTATGTACTGTAATACAGTGTGTGCACTTCCAGATTATTATTGTATGGTGTAATTTATATACTGTAACTACAATTAAGGATTGAGGATTTTTTTGTTCTGATGTCAACACGGTGTCTAGATAAATTGGTAAAAAAATAGTAGTAGAGAAGGTTAAGAATTATATATTTGTGTACCATTCTTTCTTTACAAGACTTGATAATGGTCCAAGATCACTACGTTGCCACTTCTTCATTTTCAAATGTGTGGGCTGGGTGTTTAATTTTCAGCCATGTTATTGTGACTTACTGTCAGCACTTTGAGCCTATACAACTGGGATCCAATTTGAGGGTGTGGAGAGAGAGAATATTGGGGGGGCGGGATGGGCAGTCTTGCCTTTCAATTTTTTTTCAATGATTCTGAGGATCAATGTTCCCCACGGCCTGGTCTCTGACCATGCTTGGTGTGCATACGACCGATGTTCCCTGCATCCCCCTCCTCATCTGTACAAAAGTAGTTTTATTTGTAATATATAATTTGGAATTTTGAAGGAAACTGGAGGAGTTTGATTGTAATGTGTCCCCTCAGATTGTGGCTACCTACCTATTGTCTTCCTGTTGTTAGTTCCTGGAATCAGTGTCCACACAGCCTGGTGTCATTTTGAGGTATTTATGAAGTTCTCTTTTGAACACCGAGAGGTTGGCTAATTATGCCCTTAATATATAGGGGGAGAGTGTTGTAATGTCTTGTTTCCATACTGCTCATTCGCATTGGGGCTTAACCCTTGCACTGCACCCGACATATTAAGGTGTGTGTGCTGGAGTGCCATCCAGCATGTGATTATGTTAGTATATCATAAGATATACATATACAACCAGGCTGTGATGCCCATGTCAGGCTGCGAGTAGCCGCGTTGACCAGTTCATCAACCAGGAGGCCTTGTCGAGGACTGGGACGCTAAGCCCCAAAATCATCACAAGGTAAGATTCAAAACTCCCATGCATACAATGGGGCGTACATTTGCTTCCTCAGGCCTTCAGTAACCATCTCCAATCTTGATAAGAACATCCTGAGTCCCTCACCTTTCTTCCTAGGGCTTAGTAACGTGGCCTAGGTTACCAAGGCCTACGAAATGTTCATAAGGTCATAGCTTTAGGAACATGTAGGGCAGCCATACTATGAGCCACTGAAATTTTAACAACAGCAAGTGAGTGATTACCATTATATATTTCAAGCAAAATGTGTGCTATGTTCAATTACTGTATAAGATTTAGGCTTGTATATACTCAGTATATATTAGTATGAATAAATACATGGTGTGCATATATATTTATATACAGTACCGTACATATATCTGTATATATGTATATTTTCAAAGTTATACATAATGAACACCATCTTTGACACACAGATACAACTTGCTGGAGTGAAAAAAACTAAATTAATGAAGTGGGAAACATTGAAAATAAATTTACAAAGTTATTCCCATATGGCAACTCACCTCATTAAAAAAAAAGTCTAGGCCACTACAATTAAACTACAGTAGATAGAGACTTTTTACTTAGATTTTTGTGATTCCTGGGGTGCTAATTAACAATACCAAATGAAAAAATACTGTTTTTGGAACAATTTATTTTTGGCGCACCACAGTAATGTCATTTTAATACTGTACATGCGCAGTGCAGGGATTAATCTCACCCATGCTCTACTGTTCTTTCACTAGGCTCAGTTCATCTCGAGGCAATTTAGAATCTTTATTCATGGCTTGTTGCAGTTGTAAAAGATGTGATTGGGAAAAAAAGTATTAAAAATATATTCTGTATTTGTAGCTTAAAATTTAAAAGGCACAAAAGTGATCAGGTATTTTTTTTTTTTATATGTTTTTGGGATTTTTGACGTATACTGATTCACGAAGTTGTGCTTGCAGGGGTTGAGCTCTGCTCTTTCGGCCTGCCTCTCAACTGTCAATCAGTTGTAACTACTAAATTTTTTTTCCCCCCCACACCAAAAAAAAAATGTTGTTTTTCTGCAGCTTTGTTTCCTTGGTTTGAACCTATGACCTCTTGTTCTTGAAGTTGCAGGATTCAAGAATTTCTCTTGTCGATTCCTGTTGCTTTCTTGTACATAGTGATCTGATCATATTGCCTCTTTTTCTTCTATCTGCTAGCTCTAGCAAATTTATCGCCTCAAACCTTTCCTCGTACCTCTTGTTTTTTTCAGTTCTGGAAGCCATTATGTAGCGTGTCTGCACCTTTTCCAGGTTGATGTGCTTTTTGAGATATGGGCACCGTACAACGGCTGCATATTCTAATTTTGGTCTCCCAAAGGTTGTGAACAATTTATTTAATATTTTGACCTCCATGTACAGTATTTAAAACTAATTCTGAAGTTGGACGCTCCTCGCTCAATGTTCTTTACATGGTCGTCAGTAGTGATGGAACAATACAGTATTAAGATTTCTAACATTTCCAATGCCAATTCCACTAAAAATTATCAATTCCAATTCTTTTCAAAACAATAGTTGGATACTTATTTTTTCTGAAAAGGTACTTCAGTTTGGAAAATTTAATGCTTGATATTATGATCATGGTAAATTTATTGATTATAATAAATCGATTTAAGAATAGAAAACAATTGGTAAATCCAGCTTAAAACCATGCCATTATACATGCAGATATACATGCTTTAATTGTGTACAGTACTATATAGGAAAATACAATTTGTAATCTTATTTCAAAAAGTTAATATTATAACTAGCTCAACTGTTAATTCCAATTCCTTTTTATTCAAAAAGTAATTCTTAATCTACAAAACACAAGAAAATAAGAAACACTGAAAACATTACATTACCCATCACAGGTGTACGTATTGTATGCAATTTACGTTACAATAATATTTTTAATCCTTTTTCAAATAAAATTATATTGCAATAGTAAAATGAAACTTTAGGGCATAATACTTTGTTAATTATCATAATTTAAACAATTTTCATTATTTCCTGAAACGAAAAGAATATTTTTTTATTAAATGTTAAATAATCGTTTTAAAAATTGAAAGTCATGATAAATTTCTCTCAATTCAGATACTAATTCTGATTACTGAAAGATGCTCGATTCTTCAGATTCCGATTAATCGTCCCATCACCGGTCCTCGGGTGACAATCCAAAATACATCTGAAATGTGCATATCTTCTATGCACAATGTAGCATATGCACTGTGGTTCACTTACTCTAATTCATTACAAGGTGGGAACACATTTCTGTTTTCTTAAAGTCAGCATTGGTTAGCCTATACTGAGGTATGTGAACCAACCAGCTTTGCAACTATCGTAGGTACAACTGATAAGTAAAGATAAGTAAGAGACGGGTAAATCCCATCTTCAGCTGAAATTTATTTATCAAAGATTTCTACTTTTCCACTCTTTTGAGAGGAATGAAAACAGTTTTGCCATTCTGAAATGGGGTAACCCTACACTTGTGTCAAACCTGAAAGAAGCGAGGTTGTGACCATATGGTCCAAGGTCAAATACAAGTAAAGTAATAGCTCACTGCCACCTTTTTTCTTCCCTGTGCATTCACTAGTGACAAATAATTAGTGGTAACTAATATTGCAAGAAATGCCCCCATGTGATTTGAAAACCTCCTTTTTTTACATTGTGATAAATTCTGTAAAGTAAAATAAATAAAATGTAGCCATTTACACTACAGGCCTGGCATATCATTTATCCAGTAAATGTCATATTACCAATTACAGTATATTGCTTTCTTGTGCAGGGGCCAATAATTAACAGCTTTTTTTTAAATCTGTTAGTAGGATTATGTACAGGTATTTAAAAGAAAAAAATGGACACAATCTACATATACTGTGCTAGAAACCAGAAAATGTTGATTCCATTCGTTCTAGCAATAATTGTTCAAGATAAATCACATTTCTAATATGGGGGTTTTATAGAGAATTTGTTTGTTTTAGCTACAGTATGTTTTGTGGTTTTGTTTCATCTTGCAATCAGATCTTATATGCTGTGTAATGTGCATCTCTGAACTGCCTGGTTAGGTTTTCATGCTGTTCTGTTTTTGCGTTAAGATTTAATTAGCATACAGTACTTTATTCTGCTGTGGAAGAGTCCTGGTACAGATGTAATAGGCTTAGTCCCGTTTAATTTTGTTTTATGGTACAGTAAGTGCATTAGTGTTTTCTAAGTGCATATCAAGTTGCAATTTTGTTCAAATATCCTCATCTGATCCATGCAACCTATCTCCATGAAATTACCTTGCTCTTACTGTTCCTTATTTAATATTTGAAAACTATTAACTATATGCTTTATACTGTACTATTAAACATACCTACTACAGTATACTCAACATGCTAATTGCTTTTATAATTCTAGGAATCTATCCAGATTCCTTTCTATTCATAAAATAGTGATTAATGCATTTAATTAATCTTTAAGTACTATAGCCCAGCACTATGCTTTACAAGCATAATTCCTAGACATATTAAACTCTCCCTCCCACACACACCCCTACTTTTTTTAAGCATTTCTCCAGTTACTTGTTCATCTATGCTTATCCTTTTTCTCTCTTTCTCTCCTTATTTCTAAGACTCCTTACTTCAGACATTTTTTTCCCTTTTTAAGTTATGGTATTATTTGTTTTCTTCCATTTTATCTAGAAGAATTCCAGATATAAAACAAAAAATATTTTTTGATGTATGTATACCACTCTTGAACAAACACAAATATCAAAACTCAAGAACCAAAAGGATGGAGTCTCACAGGGTAGCATTTTGAGATTATTCTGATAATGGATATCATGATTTTATACAGTACAGTACTGTACTTCCAGAAATTACATAAATATTTTGTGTGGTGTCGTGAACGGAGCACGTACGAAGGATCCTCCAACAGTTTCTTATTAAAGCAGCATAATGAGCAAAGTTTAGTCTCTTGTTTCTCACAAGCTGAAACAATTAAATGCACCCAGATAAATCACTAAAAATCAACGGCACAGTTATTGCTGATGAAAGAGCTATAAATTATTGGGGTTTGATATGCACCTCTTTCAGGCTCTTAATATTTATTTATTCATATTTTTTCATCAAGAAAGAAGCCAAGCCACTTTCACATTCGACGAGGGGGAGAGGACTGGTGGACTCGACTACAGCTGTGTAATGCCCTCATAATCCTGTGACTGATGTATGGATGTGATGTGTACTTTTCAATACAAAGAGTGCACTTAAAATACTTGATGCTATTAATCATATAGGATTTTGACTGCCATATGTATTTGCATTCAGGACAGCGCCATCCCAAAGTTAGTGAGTGGTATACCATCACGAGAGCAACTAAGGTCAACCTCCTGTGCCCATCATGACTGCAGACCTTCAATACCAATTCTATAAACTTGTCCTGCACCTTGGTCTGAAAATTTTGTTGGATTCACACACTACTGTATCCAAACTGTAAAGCTTCATTCCAGAGTCGCGTTCAGGATATGCAACTTTTAATATGGGGTTCAGAATGACTCCGATGGAAGCCTCGAGGATGGCATCGTCGAAGCGCTCGTCAACAAAATGCTGCTAAAAGGAAAAATAGTCTAGTATCCCAGTTGCTGGACTCCCAAATAAATTTTTGGCCCATTTAGAGACCTTGATCTATTTTGATGCAGTGCAAAGATTTAAGATTGGGTGGACTATGCAACCATGTTTCCAGGTGATGAAAGCGGCTTCACTGTCAAGAGTATCACTTACATTCATGGCTCAGCTTGCTACCATTTGGACAGCGGTACAGTATATGCTGTACTGTATACACACTGGAATTATTTGTGATCTACTCTGGTACATGAAGCACAATAGACTCTGCAGGGATCCTTGAGACTGTACGCCCAATGGTGATCAGCATGTGGGCTGTGGTTGCAAATACTGTACTAGTTATGCATAAAATAGTTACAATGCCATGTGTTTGGTGCTTGGGAGTGCAAATATTCGGGCAAATGAATGAGTGGGCCACAAAAAATGCCTTTCACAAAAGTTTGCCATAAAGAACTTTTTGTTTTTGTTTCGTGAATATGGCGGATGGAATGGTCATACATATAGGTGGTAGTGTGTGACTGATAAAAGGAAATAAAACTATGACTGTGTGATAAATAAAAGAAGTACAGCCTGTACAGCATACAGAAATAAGAATATTTGGAGGATTGTCAAATCACATAATGGTCTCTGTAAGATAGGGTGATGAATACCATCATGCCAAGTGGTGCATGATACTAAACAAACTGGTTCAGTATTGCAAGTATTTGGAGAGATTAAGAAAGTGGCAAGAGCATTTGATTACGAGGTGTGTGTGTGTATCTTGTAGATGCAGCACAATGAGTAAGGAGGGGTAAAGAATTGTTTAAAGTACAGGTATTATTACTAGAGTAAAGGATGTATGAAAAGATTCAGAAAAAAGTAGAAAAAAATAAACAAAGAGTTTAAATAAAAACAAAATATACTTTGAAAACTATTAAGTTAACTATCAACTATTTTCTTAAGTAAAAAAAAAAGTCTTATCAATGAGATGTGCAGTAACATGAAAGGGAATACTGTACTGTACTGTATTAAATAAAAGCATAGGGAAATGTTAACTGTAGAAATCAGCAGTGTATTATGAAAATAGGTGGAAAAAATGCAAATGTATACATACTGTAACTGGATTTGCTGGTGCAAGAAGAGTGCTAGATCATCAGTATACTGTCTAAGCTCACTTATCCGAATTATATGGGAAGGACCCCCCCCCCCCCCTCCCTGCTGGATAAGCCAGACATTCAGATAAGTTGAATTCTTTCAGGGGAAATCCAAAAATAACCATGCTTGTATTTTTTTTTATACCATAACCATCATAATTCTTATTTCCACACACTGTAAATCGATAATATACTTTAAAAGAGAAACGTTAGCTTACCTTGTTGTAGTTTTTCTTCTTGTGTGATCTTCTAATCTTGAAGTATGTAGGTCTTGAAAATTCACATAACCTAATATCTGGTTATTCAAATTTCTGTTCAGATATGGGGAAATTTAACAGAAAATTATCTGAACTGATTTTGGCTGGATAACCTAAATATTCAGTTCATCGGGCTTCGGATATCTGAGCTCATACAGTATTACATTTCTGACAGTCTTGGTGTGGAAAGGCATTTGCCCAGAGAAGCTCCATGTAGGTATTATACAAAAAAGTTAAATGTTTGTATAAAAAGACACCTGTCCGCCGTACCTTTAACTAAATAGCATCTCTAAGAAACGGCAGCACACTTCAGAACAACTTGGCCCACAGTATCAGCACAGAAGATACAGGTGTGTATGATTAGAGTAGAAATGATCAAATGCAAGGTAATGGATTGAAATGACTGTAGAGGATGTCAGACATCAAGGAAAGTGATACTGTACAAAGTTTCTGGTGGCTCACTGTTAACACGCTTACCCCACACCTTACGAGCAGTTTGGTTTGTGTCGTGTCCTGGCCATGAAGGATTGATTAGGCACCAATTCTTAACTACCGGAGGTACTAATCTCTCTCCACCCAGTAGCAATTGAGTACCTGTTTGTTAACTAATTGGTGGGTTGTGTTCCTGGGAAATGAGTAGGTAAGGCTTACTATGAGCTGTGAGAAAGGAAAGCTCCCAGCCTGTTAACAGCAGTCAGAAGTCACCTGTTCCTTACTTGTACTATATAATGAAAAAGATAATTGATTGTGAATATATTGAGCTGTGACTGCATGATTAAATAAAATAATGTTGAGCATAAGACTTAGCATTAGTCTACTTAGTTTAGTGTGCAAAGGAACTTAATTAATGAAAATGTGGGTTCCATTATGGACTTGGAGATTTTATGACAACGTGATAAGCAGACTTTAGCTTTGTGGAAAGATGAAATGCAATGAAATTCTCATTTTATCAAGTTGCACATATGTAAGAGTTGATGGCATAAATGACTGGTTTGATATAAATGTAAGCAGACACAAATACTGTTTAATGTTTCAGTGTTCAGTTTTGTATATAGATGGTCATAAAGGATGTCAATATAAAAAATTAAAGATGTGAACTTTAGTATATGATAGGCATAAAGAGAATTCAGTGATCAAATTCAACATTATGCAGATGATGCAGTTCTACTGTTGATGAAGAATGCGAGATACACAGTACGTACATCCAGTGGTAAATAAGTTCTTGGGGTTTCAGTACTAAGCTACAACATAACACCGAGTTATAAACAAAAGCATTACTGGTGAAGTGCTGTTAATGGTCAATTTGTAAATGGCTTTCTATAAACACCTGGGATGTGTTGATAACAAAATGGTAACTTTGTGGAAGTGAAGTTCAGAGAATGAGTCAGCACAGGGAAGAACTGTACTGGGTGTGGATTGTACCTGGATGGGGTTCTGGAAGTTCTCCCCCCAAGCCCGGCTTGGGGCCAGGCCGGTGCTGTAAGTAGTTGTGGTGAGAGGGCTTCTGGAGATATGGTGGTGCAAATCTTGCCAATACAAAGGATAGTGTAGCAGTAGATATTAATAATTTTATTAGCATGGATGGTGTTTGAAGAACAGCTAGGAATAATGATTCTTTATGAAGATATGGATGAGTGATAGTGATGATTTTTGCACATGGATTATGGGTTCTGTGAATTGTGATGAAAGAGTATTTGTGGATGCGAGGAGGGCTGCATGTCTAAATTGTTAAAATTTGTTTAAATTGTTAGAATAGACAAATTTTTTAAAAGAGTGAATGTTTGCTATTCATTTGGACAAATACCTCTACCTTCTCTGGACCTAGTTATGGATAAATGCCTCACCCGCCTCTCGACAAATGCCACTTCACCTCTGAACAAATGCTTTTCCACCTCTGGACAAATGTGTATCCACCTTCTCAGGACAAATGCTTGCTTCTCCAACTCTAACTACCACCTCCCACCATTTCTGGGCAAATTTTACTTCACTGTCTCAGAACAAGTGTCTCCACCTCATGAAAGTGGGAAATAGGATAGTGATAATGATGTATAGAAACAAGACAACACAACAAATTAAGAGCAGCAAAACTGAATGTAAACCAGGATATCATTACACCAGAGCTAGAGGAAGCTAAGTAGTACAGTACTTGGCCAATTTAAAGTATGTGATATTAAATAAACAAATCCACAAGGGCCGTGATGAGGATTCAAACTTACGCCCGGGATAATCCCAGACGCTGCCGTAGTTGATTGCGCCACGACATGGCAAAAGAATTGCAACCGGAAGGTCAGTATATAAAAACCCCATATTTTTCCATGTCGTGGCGCAATCGACTAAGGCAGTGTCTGGGATCATCCCAGGCGTAAGTTCGAATCCTCATCACGGCCCTTGTGGATTTGTTCATTTGATATATCATGCTATTGTGATTTCTGTGTGTTTGCCATATTGACCAGTTCTGTACTCTGCACTCAGCTGTTGACCAGAAATCCACATACTGTACCAAGAGATTTGCTAGACGCATGTTTTCCGCAACTAAACCTTATAGCAAAGGCCACTTGTAAAATGGTGAATAATTCTGAAAAGGAAGCAAATAGTATTTTTACCAAATAATTTTCTTAGTATTGTTTTTTTGGCACTTTCATTACATTGCATAATACTGTATTACAAATTTTACGGCTGTTGAACAAATCCACAAGGGCCATGACGAGGATTCGAACCTGCGTCCGGGGGCATCCCAGACACTGCCTTAATCGACTGAGCTATGACAGGGTTAAAAGGGTTGAAACCGAAGTTCTACTGAACTTACTGGATCCCGTAGCCTCTCCGAGGCACAAACCAGGATTTTACACAACCTCCCCACCCCCCTGCACCCAAGCTATGTCAACAGGCCGTTCTCCCTCTTCGCCCTTACATCATTACACACAGAGATCACACTAACGTGATGCATCAAATGCATTATCCAGTAAGTTCAGTAGAACTTCGGTTTCAACCCTTTTAACCCTGTCGTAGCTCAGTCGATTAAAGCAGTGTCTGGGATGCTCCCGGACTCAAGTTCGAATCCTTGTCACAGCCCTTGTGGATTTGTTCGTTTACTGCTGTTATTTATCTTCGATATGGTGAAGCTACCATAATGCCTGCACCTGGTTAGCAATACGTTAGTCTTACAAGTTGTGGTGCTTGTTTTATCTTTGTTTTGAGCTGGTTTCTGTAGTACAGTCCTCAACATATTCCAGTTACAGACTAATAGGTAGTTTTTTGTCCTAGCCATCTGCAATGCAGTATATCCAGTATCCCAAAATAAGCTAAGAAGTGTGAAGCTACTAATATGCAAAGTTGTGTCAGCTAGATTAAGACTAGACAGTGCAAGACTTTGCACATGGGCACTTAAAAATAAGATATGGAATAAGTTCAGCGAAGAAAAATTAAAGAAATGTACCATAAGTAGAAAAGTAAGATATTTGAAGTATGCAGCATGTTACTTTCAAAAGCCCCATCACAATACAAATGGTACCTCTTGCAGCTTGTACATTACAGTATTTATATTACACACTTTTCCCCAGTCTCTTAACAACCCTATGTGCAATCATAACGTATTTAGTTGCAGTTTCCTGTTGACATCTATTTATGTTTTTGTTTTTATTTTTTTTTAAGCCTTTCACATTTTTGCTTTGTCCAATTATACGAAAATCACACTTTTTTGCAAACATTCTAAAACTGGATTGTCTCGCTTTCTTCACTTGATCTCCTAGATCCCACTCGCAGACAATGCAGATTTCTTGTTGAGGTTGCAGGAGTGGACACGTACACAGTTTCTTGGCTTTAAGGTAAAGTGAGACTTCTCTCATCATTTTTGCAAACGTATAGAAAATGTGCGATATACTTATACCTTGAAAACCAAGATGAATGTTTATAACTATATTATATTTATACAACAGAAGATACATTGGACAAGTTAAAATTGGTAAAGCCATGTTTTATTATTTAAAAGTTGCTAGTTAGTGCAGCATTTCTGGTATTAAAGCTATTTATTGCCTTTTTACCATAGTCTTTTGGTAAAATATGTCTTGATTGCTGTATGTGTTCAATGAAAATTATTATAAACAGTATTAGGAAGAAAATTTCTCAATTTTTTTCAAGTATTCTTGGGGTGCTTTGAGGTGGGGTATCCTCTAATTTAGTTTTTCAGATTTTGAAGTGCTAAAACCACCTAAGGAATTAATTGTTAAATACACTTTGTTAATGTAGTACCATACATTAAAAATGTACCATAAAACAAAACAATGTTTTATGCCTGAACAGATTCAGACACTTCATTACAATTTTGTTCAAAAATGTTTGAGTCTTAAAAATTTTTAATACAGTACAGTACTAGATTTCAGTAGTACAGTATACTGTACATGACACTTTTGCTGGGATATTCACCTATTTCACCAGATTTATAACAACTGGTTTGCTGTTTTGACGTACTGAGTTACATTGAAGAGAATTTGAACTCATCTCAGAGTGTGAATGGAAACTGATTTGGGACTTGTTGTAACTCCTAAAGAAATGTCATTTAATCAAAATTTAGTTGCTAGTTTGCAGTGATTAGTACAGAATTTTTTATTGTTTTGCAACCCATTCTAAATATACAGTACTGTATAGGAATTGAATAAATACCAGTAAACAGTCTTCCCCCCTCCCTTTCCTGGTTTATAGCTGAAGTATGCCAGGCACATAACAGTTTCAACATACTGTAGTTCACACTTCCACTTCTGTAATAAACTTGGGCAGGCAATTAAAAAGTTAATGGTATAATTCATATTTAATTGGTGAATATAGCTTCCACCCTAGCTTGGGCCAAATGATGTGGCACATGCAGTAAACAGTGCATAGTATTAACATAAGGTTGCTCTAAATTAATATTGAAGTTAAAATCATTATGACGTATCAATCCTGAAGATGGTGCTAGTCTATTAGTCTATGCAGTGTTGGAAAGCTTGCCTAAGTGAATATATGAAGCTGCGGAAATAGATGGAAACCTCTTTAAATTGTCTCACTACTGTAATTAGGTTAGATTTATACAGTACTTGTACTGAATAAGAAAGCATTCTCAGATAAGCCCCCCTGCCCTTTGATGTGATTTTTTTATTGTTTATGGATTGGGGAAGAAGGGGGGTGCTTGTATTCTCCACAAATCCAGTTTTGCTGTTGAATGTGACATTGTAAGTTTCTTTTCTAGTCAAAGGGTAGAGGTTGCCCCACTTGTTCCATAAACCTTGTACAGTACTGTATATGAATATTGACAAATCTTCTCTTGGTGCAGGTACTGAAGTAAGGCTTCAAACCCTTAATTCAGTAGGGCTAGTGTCACAATGAACAGTGCTTTGCCACCATTCCATAAATGGTATTTTGGCTGATTACCTGCCAAAAATAGAACAGTCCCAGAGAACTCGCACTGATCATATACTGTACTGTGACATACTTCTCAAAATTTACCTGGCACTTGTCTGGATATCACTGTCCTACTACTACATCTATAGAAGTAGCATTGTGCATGTCCACAAGAGTGACAATGAGTACACAAGAAACAATCAGTAATATCAAGTTCTAGCACCAAGATTAAATATAGTAGTTATAATATACAGTACTCTACTGTACATTGATATGTAAATCTACCTTTCACATTGCCAATTAACTCCAAGCTTAAATATAACCTTTGATAGAAGAGAACTATGCTCTTTTAGAGATTATAGGTGGAGTAGAACGTTATGGAAAGGAGTTTAGTGTATTCCATCTCCTAGCCAAGTCAAAATTAACTGGAAATTTGACCGTGGTGCTTCAATACACATAACTAAAAAAAGTTCCCCTAAGGAGCAAGCTGGGACATCTTAAAACAAATTGTGTTGACCAACTAATCTTGTTTCGTGAATTAAGAAAACAAATATCCAGCATATTCTAATTCTTATGATCATTACAGATTATTAACAAAAATCTCATTCCATAAAGCAAAACTAAAACATAATAAAGCCACTTTTTAACCCAACACATTCGCTAGCAGCAAATAAACTTTATTAACATCCATCTTTTCTGCTCCAAATCCTTATAACACATTATCACCTGCAAATTTCTGTTCAACCCTCTAAAACAGTTACTCAAACATACACATAACCTACAAATATCCATAACTATAAATTTCATCTCATCTCAACATCTCAGATCAGATCAAATGCATCAAATGATGCATTTGATGCAACATCTCAAATTCATCTCAACTCAAACATACACATGACCTACAAATTTCCATAACTATAAATTTCATCTCAAAACATAACACCTATGCTCTCTTGAAAACAATCCTACTATATATACTGCAACAGCTGACCTCAATCCAAGTTTATATTCCTATCTACATTCCCCTATTTCTGTCAATAAATCTGGTACTTTGTATCAGCAGCACAGCCTGTACAACTATAAAACACATCATCTAAACACAAAAGGAAAATGATGTCTACTCATTTCCTGAACATCCACTGAGAAATAGAAGATATTGGGCAACAATACTGTACACAATCACAGTATGAACTTTAAGCATTACACTCCTGACATAACCTGACCCCAAACTTGATGTGTAATAAATACAGGTGGTTCTTGATTTGAAGAACCACCTTCAAATCATACCTGAAGGTGTATAGGAAAGATAGTTAGGTTCTAGAAACCTACAATCATCCACCGGTTTCACTTTACTCAATAATACTGTATACTTAATGCATTTGAGCATTGATATGTAATGCTGCTTCTACATATACAGTCCATAATGGTTGGGATATATAATATTAATGTAAAAATACAATCCAAAAAGTTTGTGAAACAAGATGTGGCATGCGTGGTAGCCTGGCAAACTACTGAGGATGTGTTTGGATTGTGGATTAGCTGCTTTAATCAGTTCTCAACCTATGTGCAGTCAAATTTTATCAAAGTACATGTACTGTGTTGGTACTTCGAAAAGATGTTAATCTTAACCGTGTATCTAAATCTAAGTTGCCTGAAATCATGTAAATCAAAGGCTGCCTGTACAACATTTACTACAACAAAGACCACTTTCTGCTTGGTGTGACCATTTCACCAAATGTAGACTACAGAATATAACCAAGCACAATCAATATTTGTTAATATCAAAATAGTGAGATACATATATACACACAATATATATATACAGGTATAGATATATTTGTTTTTCTTAGTGTTTGCTACTTTTTATTTAAATACAGGTACAGTTTGTCCATTATCCAGTCGTATGCGCAGTTTTTATGCAATTATTTACTATTTGTTTAACCCCTAGAGAGCATAGATGTTTTTTGTGGCTGCCAGCTATTTGCAGTTGAAAAATATATAAAATATTAAAATAAGAATTTGAAATATAGAAAATTTTGTACTGTACTGTATTTGAAACTAATTCCATATAGTGTACTGTATTTCCTTGGAGAGACAGACTTCCATATTAATTATATTCTGGGTTTGTCATGAAATCCTGACATTTGTATAGAAGGGGTCCCCGTAATTTAAATCGTCAAACAACTGTACTGTATTGACCATCAGAGTAATGTAGCCATTCTAGATTGAAGATAACATTGGAACCTCGAGTGACGTGCAACTCCAATTACGATCATTTCGAGTAACGAGCAAGCCACTCACAGAAAATTTGTCTCGATTGACGAGCTTTCGCTCGAGTAACGAGCAAACCACATGGTGCTTCCTGGCATTCCTGCTGGTTTTCAGATGCCTCCGACAACAGTGTTGTTGTTTCGCAAGACGAGCTCGGTGTCGAAACGGATTAAATTCGTCAATCGAGGCTCCACTGTATTTTCTTTTCCATCATAAAATGTGATTTCTCTCTCTCTTAACTGCTACTTGGATTTGCTTGGAATATATCTTACTCTTTTAACTTGCTAGTGGGAGAATTAAGAATTTCCTACAATTCATATAACACTACAAAAGTAATTGCAGTACTTTTATTAATGTGTCTCCTTGCTCTCCTTTCCCGGTTTGGTGCCTTCTTTTGATAGGTATTTACTTTGCTCTCCTTCCATATATCATGACTTATCCAAACAAATAGCTTATAACTTCCAAAACATTGACCATAAAAGTTTCTATAATATGTAACTCACAAATATTTGATTGCATTTTTGCAGGGCAGTGTGTCTACTTATTTCATTAGCCACCATTAAATGTGACAATATTTACAATTACAACATCCTTATTTTTGAATAACCATACTAAGTCCTTCCATATTTTCAGTTTAGTTATTCCTCCCACCATTCTATTAGTGTCTCCTTGCTTCTGTAAAAAAATGGCCTTTGAAAAAAAGTAAAATAAAACAAACTGCTTTTATGTAATTTAAATGCCAGTACAGTATTAACAATTTGCAATGCTAAATACGAGAGGTGTATATTGTACATCTCCAAATATGTACAGTACTTCCAGGTACAATGGTCAGTGCAGTCAGGCTACAGCCAAAAGGTCCTGGGTTAAATTTCTGTGACAATACAAAAACATTTAGATGTTTCCTTTCACCTGAAGCCTTTGTTCTCCTAGCAATAAAATGGTATAGGATGGCTTTTTAAATAAAAAGAATTTCAGAACTGTATATCACTATATATCCCCTACTAACTACCAATAGGTTATTGCTGGCTTTGTTTTGCTTCCCCCTCCCCCCTCTCTCACCTTGAGAACTGTCACCTGCCTGAACCCTGGAATGTACAGTGAAGGTTTTTTTATATAATATAAATATACTGTATATAATACACACACACTCATGGGGGTTTACTTCTGTTATTTTCCTTGG